CCCCCCCCCCGCCGCTCACGCCCTCAATGTCACCCCGTCTTCTGACCCACGCCCCTCCCCCGCCCCCTCCAGGCACCCGGACTTCTGAGCACCAGGAAAGGGCATTAGCCCCTCCCAGGGAAACTCAGGCTGGTGGGGGTACTGGGTTTCTGTTTTTGGGTTTGATTTTGATCTGCTCCGGCGGGACACCTCCAGGCTTCAGTGTGGGGGTGCACTGATTCACTCAGCAGAGGCTGCAAAGCTGAGAACTTAGTGACTAGCAGTGGGGAGAGGGCAGCCCCAGCAGAGTGTGTCAGAGCCGGAGGCTCCGGGCCAGCTCCGTGCTGGCGCCAGCATTCTCCGGGCCAACCCTCCCCCAGAGCTCGGCTCTGCCACTCCAGTGCCCCTCGCGGCTCCTCCATCCCAGCTCTCAGGGAGCAGAATTTCTGCCGCAGGCGGGAGGGTGCCGGGGTCCAGCCTCAGGGGCCCAGGACCTCCGCTCTAGGAGGGGCGGGGAGGTGTCAGAGGGAGCGGAGGGAATTGCCAGTGTCCACGGAGCACCGGTCTGTGAGCGCCGCGACGACCAGCGGCTGCCCTGCTGACGCAGAGCCCAGGGCACTGGCACAACCGCAACCTTCTCGGAAAACCGTCTTCACTCAAAATGACCCCGTGACACGCCCCCCCTCCCCCTTGAGGTGCCTGCATCTGAGTCTTTCCATGAGACGGGGCCAGGGGCTTGTCTGGGTCCTGCTTCTGGGACACACACCGACCCCCGGACCAAGGGCAGCCCAGCCCACCGCGTGTGCAGAGGCGGTGCGCACCGCCCTGTGCAGACTCCTGCATCGGCAACTTCGGCGGCTGGGGACTGGCCGCTCCGACTGCCGGCTGCCTGAGCGGCCAAGGGCGGCGCTGGGCACCGCGGTTTCTCATCCTCGGTGGCTGTGCCCCCAGGCACCGCACCCGCACTTGTGACTTCACTCCTTTCTGCTTGTCACACTTCAGTTTTTAAAAGTACTCGGCTGCCACAGCTGAGAGGCGTGAAGGGGGGTCGCCCAGCCCAGCGTGCGCGCTGCCAAGGGCGGCCTGACCTTCACCAGGCGGGGGCGGGGGGCTCCACCAGGCCTGCACCCGGCCCCACCGACAGGACCCCGCCCGCACCGACGTGGTCAGCGCTACGGTCAGCACGAGGGCCCAGCTC